CCCAGGCCCAGGATATGCACCTACCCCCTGCAGAGGGCAGCTCACGCCCGAACCCAGGGGTAGGAGGCTGAGTCATTTCTACCTTCTCCTCTCTGTCAACGCTCTCTGGTTTCATTTAAAAGAGTCGATCATCAGATATTGTCCAAGATTAACCTTCAGTGTGGATATAGCTTGCTAACAGCCTCACACCGATGACCTATCCACGTCATCATTTACCCAGAATGCTTTGCGTGTAAATAAAATGGCTCTGTCCGTGTAATATTTTTAAAAATTTAGTTTAAAATTTAATACAACTAAACAGCCTACAGTATTTTTTACAGTGTTTATTTTACAGTTAAAATGTATGTTTATTAAATAAAGTCTTAATGTTACAAGTAATCGTGGATCCCTTTAAGGATGTTGAAGACAGCTCCATTCATGTTCAATGAGAACAGAAATGGCAGAAAAAGATAATTATCTGACAAAATATAAAAAGCTGAAATACCAAAAGTCAAAGCTGGAATGTCCTGAAGGAGCCAAATTTTTAGATATAAAAATTGTTGAAATATTACAAAAATTGAACGTATAGAAGAAAAAATTCCATTAATCATTCACACAAGCTTCAGATCCAAATACAACACATCGTAACATTCGAGTCTATTGTTTTATCCTAATCTTTATTCTAATGCTGCACAAAGTTGAGTTCCAATAAACACAGCATTTGTATGTTTTAGTTTTGTAAGTAAACCACACATTTGTACAGAACGGGTACAACTTGGGTCACAAAGAGAAAAAGTGTAGAAACCTTACAGTTGTGGCTCTGGTGGGATCTTCCATCATGGCCGGTGTTGGCAGACCCTCAGAGACGTCTCTTTTAGCTGAAGACTCTCTGTTGGACAAGGGAAGCAGCACTTGGACTGGGTTTTCTGGTGCCGGTATCGGTTGAGGTACGAGACTTCGAACAGGAACAGTCTTTGGTTCTGGCGGGTTCACGTGGGGCCGTGGTATGTGGGATTTTGGCGGCGTTGAGTGCAGCTGGTCATGTGGAGCTTCTGACTCTTGACTTTGGACTTCAGTACAAGTGTCATCATTACTGCTAATGAGCTCAGGTGAACCAGAACTATGGAGCGGGGAGTTGGATGGTTGGGTTTTGGGCCCCAAAAGGCCACCCGCCTTTGTTTTTTTTGAAGAGATCGTAAACTTGACAGGGTTTTGGTCCTGGTTGCCCAGAGGGAGCAATGGAAGAACCGCTTGTGAATCCGGGTTTGACTGAATTGGTTCGGCTGGATCACCAGCTGAAAGAGCCACTGAGCTGAGACCAGTGTCAGAACCCATCTGGTCCCACCTAGAACCAGAGCCACTGACTTTCACCTGTATTGTTCTTTGTGGTGGTTCCCCACTGGGACTTCTAGTCTTTGCAGAGTCCAACAGAAACACATTTCTATTCCCAGAATATTCACCAATAGGTTCAATGTACGCCCCTTCATTTGCTTTAGGACCAGCTGATGACAATTCCCCCTGGACCGTCTCTACCCCTTCAAAACAACCCAGTCTATCCATCACACTCAGGTTGGTCCTGAGTGGAGATTCGGACTGAACTCCAGATGTCTTCTTCTTCTTCTCGATGCTGATGTTTTGTAAAATAAACGGCAGAGACTCTAAAGTGATTTGATCCTCGTAAAACAGTAGCTGGTCCAAGTCGTCTTTCTCGAGCTCATAACACTGAAGGATGTTAGTGGCTACTTCTAGAATGTTATTGTAAAGACTGGACCGGTCCGTTACGAACTCCTCACGGTCCCTCAAGTCTGGACTCATTCTGGAGTCTTTGTTGGAAGCATGAGAACCTCCGTCAGCATGGCTCAGTCGGGCGAAGGATGACTCGAACTCGGACGGATCGTTGTTTATAGGTTTTTTGCAGATATGCAACCAGTCCAAGGAGCTGCTGCTGGTAGATGGCGTCAGATAGGTCCCAGTCCCCAGGGAGGGAACTGCATCTTCAGCTTCACCAATATTCAAGTCTAAAACGCCATTGATGTCCTCGTCTAATGTAGCTTCTACCATTCCAGGCCTGAACCTCAAAGGTGGAGGTAGGGCTGGAGGTTTCCTTCTTCCAGAAATGGTTCTAGAGGAGGTAACAATAGATCCGAGGTGAAGGGATGTCCTCTCGAGGTTTCTTTCCATTTGTCCACTGGAGAGTCCACTTTGGTCCCCAAAGACAGGGCGGTTGGACAGAGGATGGGACATGGTGTTAGCAACCTTCAGAAGGTTCAGGTCAATGGTACTTGATGGACTTCCTGGGAACCCGAGACCATTTTTAAAAAAGACTCAATGGTTGTTATCTGAACGGGTCCATTTTGTTTGGTCCACTGTGGTACCTCATCAGTCCACGTCACCACCATGTCCAACTTTTCCTATGTAAACAAACAAACAAACAATAAATGAATGAAAGAACTCTTTGGTGATACGATACAAATCACGACTGTTATGGCCGATAACCGATATTTACCAATATTGCACAAACACACAAATTACATTTTACATATACGCAAAAACACACTTTGGTCTTTTTTGATACCGTAAATAAACGACCAGACTTCTGTCATGGCTCTACTTCAATTATTCCTGGCTACACAGCATAATATCACTATTATGATAAAACAGATGCCACTCAACCAACAATCTCCCCTCCCAAAACAGAAACACAAAGATAAAAAGTGGGAAATCATTATCGGACGTTCATATTGGCCCAGTTTTACATATGAAACCAATACCAGTATTCTAAAAAATGACCAGTATCGGCCGATACCCATATTAATACTGATATATCGTGCATCCCTATTTAACATATTTAAAAATCTAATTAATTTTGTTTATTTTTATGCATTCAGATAAACACTGAACACATTTCATCTTACAACATCCATACATTAAGCCTTAATTAAAAATCAATACAGTATCAGGAAGCAAAATATTGTGATATTTCAGTGTATCAATATTTTCTTACATCACTATCAGGAAACAGGAAGATTCAGGTCTTCTGCCAGTTTTAGTAAATTTCAGGACTTTTTTACACTCTTCTAAAGACCATTAGGACTCAAATGTAGATGTAAATACAAAACATTTTATTTTTTTATTCAATCTAATCTAGATCATTTGATTAATTGATTGGGCATCCCTCTAGAAGGCGATCTATGACCTGTTCTAGTCAAAGGTTTCCAATTGTTTGTGATTAATTGCTAGTTAATACTTCCACTATTACAAATCCCAGATGAGTTGAAAACGAGGCACTGTGGACGCAGAGCAGGAGCAAAGAGGAGAGAGAGGAGGATATGGGCAATAAGACATTGCTGAGAAACAAGTTGGATGAACTCCAAGCCCTAACAAGAACCCAGCCAGAGTATCAGGAATACAGTATTGGGTTTCACTGAGACATAGCTGCAGGATTATATCGCTGACTCCAGCATCTCTCTGACCATATGATGGACAACCCTGAGAACCCTCTTTATCACACAGACTACAATAGAGTGTCTTCAGTCAGAGGCTTCATCAGATCTGCTGTATGATGGACCGCTACAGGAGATCCTTCCTGCCCACAGCCATCAGTATCTGTAATAACTCTTAATTAACCAGGATAATATGAGTTACAATAACATTAAATTTCTCTTTGGTATTAATAAAGTATTGACCAAAGCACATGGTATTCTCTCATCCAAGTACTAACCAGGCCCCCCCTGCTTAACTTCCAAGATCAGATGAGATCTGGTATGTTCAGAGTGTTATGGCTGTTATGATTTTAAGATCAGACCTGAGACAAGACCTGAAATACTAAAAAAGAACCAAAACAGAAAACATGTTTTAAAAAACAACAACAAAAGTTGGTGAAAGAAGCAATTTAAGATGTGACGAAACTTATTTCATGACTTAAATGAAATATCTGGACATTTTTCAGACGTTTTAGAGCCTAAAACTGAGATTAATTACAGAAACTTAAATTTGTTTCTCAAATCTTGTTAAATTAAATATAAATGAATGAA